AGATTATTCTCGACAATGTGCTTGTGGACTCTCCCACCTTCTTCCAGGGATTTGTGGCGGCAGCACCGGCGGAGGAGCGATCCATAGCCCAGCGCTGGATCGCTCACATTCTGCCGGTCAATCTCCGCCAGGACATTCCCGGCGCTGGACCGCTTCAAGCTCGGTAATCGCGACGGAGCTGGCATTTTTCGCCATCGCGGTACCTGAGATTGGGGGCAAGATGCCGCTCGGCATGGAACTGCATCGCACAATCCCTTGCCAGCACGCCATTGAGCTCCGTGCGCGCAATCAGCCGCGGCAGCTTCTCCCTGCCGCCACCTCGCGACCGCCGGCATACGCACGGAAGAACCCTAATTTCCGGTGTGTAAGTTCTTGATCCCGAGCTTAAACGTAGCAAAGCTGCTCGTCGTCATATAGTCATATAGCGGCGAGATTCAGAGCCACAGCCAAGAGCCTATGATATATGTGCTAGCTGTAAGCTAGATTACGTTTTCAAATTTGTAGTACTTCCGATTCGCTCAGTGCCAAAGTTCTAACTAAACGATGAAAACACAAAATGAAAGTGATCACGAGATCGGCCTATGAGAACATTCTTCGAAACCCACTTACCCGAGCCGGACTGATAGCAATCTTTTCATTGCCGAGGTCGCCGATGTTCTCAACTTTCATCGCCTTCCATCGCGAAAGTAGCTCGTGGCTCCCGATCCACCTTTAACATTTTGAGTTGTTGCATCACCAGTGGAAGACGGTGGAGCCGTAGATTCGTGAGCAGCTCCTTGGCCACCAGCCTCTCGACGCTCGAGTAGATGTTTGCCATGGCTCCAGATGGCTGTTACCCGAGAGCTTGAGCACGATGATATCAGAAAGCCTAATAGTGCTGGGCTAGTATATTAAATCGCCAGAAAATGTGATGACTCTATACACTCTCAAGCTCTCCCCGATAACGTGGTATCCCATGCCTGGAGCGCATTGGCTCGAGCAAGCCTTCCCAACGTTCTCAGGAGAGCCCATGCTATCGAAGCAAAGGGACAACCACTACTGCTGAACAAACATATTCATTTCCATTTCTTTGTTTCTACTTTTTCTGATATGGGCGGGATCCAATGATCTGACTCACCAAAGTTGAAAAACCAAAAAAAGGCTCACCCGATCAAATATTTCCAAGCAGACATCTGTGATCTAGCGAACTGTTTCAGCAGCTCTAGCACCTACAAACATGGCAGTTCCCGTTGACCACCAAAACTTTTATGAAAGTTCAGAGCATCGGAAACGTGGAGATCATCGGTTGGGATAAGATGTTAATACTGATCCACTAAAGTGAACTAATATACTCGAAAAGTTATGAAAGAATATTACAAGTGATTTAATCCTACATACCAAATAGTTGGTGTTAATAAATCCACATTTGGGTCCGAATGGTAGAATGAAGTGGCTTCTGGATGTAGAAACCAAGTCCCATGGAATGGTTCACCGTTCAGCAGCGGATTGTCAAGCCCATGGCCAGCGGAGATGTCCAGATGTAAAACAAGGATACCATGTTGCATAGTCCACCAGGTCTTTGTTCCCAGTTTCCTCGCCCATCTTCATCAGCTTCTTTTGGAGTTGAAGGATCTTGGCTTCGGTCTCCTGGATCATTTTGCATACTTTGTCGACAGCCTCTTGAAAGCTTGCATTATTCGGGCTGTGGCAAAAGATGACACAGAGATAGTTGTGGAAGCACTTGATTTTCATCTCGTGTCGGAAGGAGAAGAGAACATGATCAGCCACTGCGTTGACAAATGCTACAAAATCTGGAGATTCAACCATACCCTTATCCAGCTTGAGATCCATGCAAAACTCACACATAATACCTCCGGCTCCTTCAACGAAAACTGTCCCTCTCCGGAGCAACTGATATTTCTCGAGACTTGGGATGGATTTGGCAGATCGCAAAGAGGCCTCCTCCACCAAAGAATCCAGAAATGTTTTCAAACAAATCATATAGCGAGCAAACAGTGGGGGATCCATGAGACTCCGAAAGCTCGACATCACCTTCTCAAACATGGCATAGCTAGGATGCTTCTGCTTCTCTTTTTCACTCAAGACATAGCTTCCCTTAGCAACTTCAAGCAGAATATCAGCAGCTTTTGTCCCCTCTTGCTCATTGATTGTCTCAGCAATGTCATCCAGAACAAAAAGACTTTTGTCCCCTCAATTGGTGGAGGTGCTGCTCCTTGCCCAACTTGGGTGATGGCTCTCAAGCATAGAATTTGAGACAAGCTCGCTATAAACTTCCCTACATAGAAAAAAAGGGGGAAAAACCATTCACTCCATCGAGAAAGGAAGAAAAAGTCCGAAGGATGATGCTAATTTGGAAGATTTTTAGAATATTCAAGTATATAAATAGGAAATATTATCAAAAACAATCTAGCAATATTATCAAAAAACACATTTTTATCTATTCAATTTTCATTTCAGTTGTTAAAATTTTAATTTCATTTCCAACCACAATTCCAATATTTAGGTTGAATTGTTTTTAGTATAGCTATTGAAATTATTTAGTAATAATATTCACTCAACTCCTATCAAACATTTTTTATTTTGTATTATAAATTCCTAAAAACAAGAAAGACATTTATAGCTTTTATTCTTTTAAATGTATTTATGATAAAATTAAATTAGCTTACTTTTTCTATTTTAATTTCTTAGATCAGATTTAAAAATTACAGTACTTCTTCATTTTAAAACGTTAAGCTGATTATGTGTATTTGTTGTCCACCAAACTTTATTAAGTACTTTTTCTTAGTTTCAAACATTTTATATTGTTGGAAATGTGATAATTAAAATTTTTAAAAAGCTTTTTTAATAGATTACACTACTTTTTTCTCTTGGTATATAAAGCAATGTAACAACATATTGAAGAATAAATACACAAACACCATAATAGTTTACAATATTATTTAATTTCGATAAGATATTTATTCGTGAATATTATAATTTGATTTTACATTTAATATTTAAGATTTTCAAAGTAAAATCACAACCATTTTTAATATGATTTCTAACATACTTATCAAATATACTTTTCATAAAACAGTGAAAAGGTTTAACAAATAATAAATATTCAACACATTTCTGTTTTTATTAATTCTACATTTATCATTATAAAATTAATAATATCATTCATATATATAATGACTAAGTTTCTAAAACTTTTCATTTTTCAAACCATGGTTTTATGGTCTCAAT